AGCGGTGTCCTGAGCTGAACTAGGGACCGTACGCCGAACACTCGCCAGGGCCCAGCCTGACCTTACGGGGAATGTGCAGCGGTGTCCCTGAGCTGAACTAGGGACCGTACACCGAGCACATCCGCCGGGGCCCAGCCTGGACTCTTCGGGGAATGTGCAGCGGTGTCCTGAGCTGAACTAGGGGCCGTACACCGAGCACTCGCCGGGGCCCGGCCTGACCTTACGGGGAATGTGCAGCGGTGTCCTGAGCTGAACTAGGGACCGTACACCGAGCACTCGCCGGGGCCCAGCCTGACCTACGGGGAATGTGCAGCGGTGTCCTGAGCTGAACTAGGGGCCGTACACCGAGCACTCGCCGGGGCCCGGCCTGACCTTACGGGGAATGTGCAGCGGTGTCCTGAGCTGAACTAGGGGCCGTACACCGAGCACTCGCCGGGGCCCGGCCTGACTCTACGGGGAATGTGCAGCGGTGTCCTGAGCTGAACTAGGGGCCGTACACCGAGCACTCGCCGGGGCCCAGCCTGACCTTACGGGGAATGTGCAGCGGTGTCCTGAGCTGAACTAGGGACCGTACGCCGAACACTCGCCAGGGCCCAGCCTGACCTTACGGGGAATGTGCAGCGGTGTCCTGAGCTGAACTAGGGACCGTACACCGAGCACTCGCCGGGGCCCGGCCTGACTCTACGGGGAATGTGCAGCGGTGTCCTGAGCTGAACTAGGGACCGTACACCGAGCACTCGCCGGGGCCCAGCCTGACCTACGGGGAATGTGCAGCGGTGTCCTGAGCTGAACTAGGGACCGTACACCGAGCACTCGCCGGGGCCCGGCCTGACTCTACGGGGAATGTGCAGCGGTGTCCTGAGCTGAACTAGGGACCGTACACCGAGCACTCGCCGGGGCCCAGCCTGACTCTACGGGGAATGTGCAGCGGTGTCCTGAGCTGAACTAGGGGCCGTACACCGAGCACTCGCCGGGGCCCGGCCTGACCTTACGGGGAATGTGCAGCGGTGTCCTGAGCTGAACTAGGGGCCGTACACCGAACACTCGCCAGGGCCCAGCCTGACCTTACGGGGAATGTGCAGCGGTGTCCTGAGCTGAACTAGGGGCCGTACACCGAGCACTCGCCGGGGCCCGGCCTGACCTTACGGGGAATGTGCAGCGGTGTCCTGAGCTGAACTAGGGACCGTACACCGAGCACTCGCCGGGGCCCAGCCTGACCTTACGGGGAATGTGCAGCGGTGTCCTGAGCTGAACTAGGGACCGTACACCGAGCACTCGCCGGGGCCCAGCCTGACCTTACGGGGAATGTGCAGCGGTGTCCTGAGCTGAACTAGGGGCCGTACACCGAGCACTCGCCGGGGCCCGGCCTGACCTTACGGGGAATGTGCAGCGGTGTCCTGAGCTGAACTAGGGACCGTACACCGAGCACTCGCCAGGGCCCAGCCTGACCTTACGGGGAATGTGCAGCGGTGTCCTGAGCTGAACTAGGGACCGTACGCCGAGCACTCGCCGGGGCCCAGCCTGACTCTACGGGGAATGTGCAGCGGTGTCCTGAGCTGAACTAGGGACCGTACACCGAGCACTCGCCAGGGCCCAGCCTGACCTTACGGGGAATGTGCAGCGATGTCCTGAGCTGAACTAGGGACCGTACACCGAGCACTCGCCGGGGCCCAGCCTGACCTATGGGGAATGTGCAGCGATGTCCTGAGCTGAACTAGGGACCGTACACCGAGCACTCGCCGGGGCCCAGCCTGACCTTACGGGGAATGTGCAGCGATGTCCTGAGCTGAACTAGGGACCGTACACCGAGCACTCGCCGGGGCCCAGCCTGACCTTACGGGGAATGTGCAGCGGTGTCCTGACCTGAACTAGGGACCGTACACCGAGCACTCGCCGGGGCCCAGCCTGGTGTTTGGTGCTGGGGACCCAGTGGGGGAGCGTGCGTTCCTGAGCTGTCTGCTGGGGGAGATGGTGGCCCCAGATCTGAGCACCTGTGCCAGTGTGCCCCTGGCGATGGGACAGTGGACAGCTCGAGGGCCTGCTGGCCGTGAGGAGCTGGGGCACCCCACGCGGAGGGCCCAGCAGGGACTGTGAGAGTCCGGGAGAGACGTGGATTGGAGGGGCCTTGACCAGTGATCACATCCTGGGAAAGAACCTGACTAGCAACTAACTCATATTCCTTTTCCCAAAAACATTTGTTGCCGCTTGAAAAGCTTTCAGTGCGTAACTGCACGTGAACTGGAATCTCTGAGACAGCAAACGACCCCCGGTGGGCTGCCCCCTCCCAGCACCACTGCAGACAGCGGTCCTGGGACCCGGGGTGGGGGTGGGGTGTGTGTGTGGCTCTGAGTCCTGGCCCCTCCTGCACTGCTTCTATCTCTTAGCACAGCCTGTGGGCCGCGACCCGGTTGGGGCTCGAACGACCCTTTCACAGGGGTCGCCTAAGACATAACAGAAAAATTACAGTTATGAAGTAGCAACGAAAATAATTTTATGGTTGGGGGTCAGCACAACAGTGGGAACTGGATTGAAGGGCCGCGGCACCAGGAAGGTTGAGAACCACTGTTTCAGTGGCACCGCCTGTCCAGGGCCCGCTGGTCACGCTCCCCCGTCAGCTCTGGGGTTGTCTTCTGACTGGAGTCCCTCCGTCCTGTCCCAGCTTCTCCCCCCACCTGCCCCTGCAGTTGTGACCAGGCCCAGCAAACGTGCCAGCTCAGACCCAGTGTGGTCCCTCCTGCCTCCCCAACGTCACGAGTCGCACCCCCTCTCTCCCGGGGGCGAGGTCCACCCCTCCAGCATCCTTCCCTCCGCCCCGGGCGCCGGGCTCAGGCCACATATTTCTACTGGCACCGCTGCACCAGCCTGCGGAGTGAGCACCCCGCACGGGGCTGCAGAGGGAAGGGCCTCCGTCCTCCTCTCCACCTTGAACGATGCAGCTGCGCACGTTCGGGTTGTTTCCCCGAGAAGGGACTGTGCCATGGGGCTGCAGTGGCGTGTGTGCGGGAAAGGGCCTGGCGTGCTTCTGACTCAGATGCTCGTCTTCACCCACACTCACCCTTCCCTCCCTCCCTCCCTCCCTCTCAAGCATGTATTGAGCTCCTACTGTCTGCAGTGTGGACAGAGGGGTGACGGAAAGAGCCAAAGTCTCCATCTTCCTGGAGCTCACCACCCAGATAGGAGGCGCATTGGTCAAACCGAGTCCAGGTGCTTTAGTGTGAACTCTGAGCAGTCTGTGAAGTTCAGGTGCAGGGATCAGGAAGACATGTCAGACCTGATGGTGTGCGTGTGTGCATGCGTCTGCGTGCAAGGGGTGCAGGAGTCAGGAGTCTTCTGGGAAGAAGTGATATTGGAGCTGGGACTAGGTGAGGAGTGGATTTGCAATGTTCCTTTGGTAGAATGTGGGTTCTGAAAAACTAGGTGAGAAAACTTGCCAGTGGGCCGTCAATTATTAATTGCAAGATGAAACCACATTCAGGTTAGCTGGGGTACGTGGGGGGTTTATTATACGGCCCTGACACCTGCGAGGGAAAGACAGCTGCAGCTGCACCTCTGTCTCTCTGTCTCCCCCTTCCCCGTCGTTACCCAGCTCCTGTCAGCGATGAGGTGTCTGGAGCTGGGACTAGAACCCAGATTTTCATGTCCTGGTCAGTGATGGCTTTGAAAACACTGTCACTGTGTGGCTTCAGAACCACTTTGGGTCGATGGTTTTCTGCTTTTGGACTCGCAGTCAGCTGAAACCAGTCTGGGTTGGAGCGCAGCGAGCCTGCGCCTTGTCTGCGTGTCTGTTGAGTGATGTCTGCCCCAGGACACGTGATGGGGACAGGCTGCTGACTGGTTTCAGCAAGTCTGAGCACTCTTCGTGCAGACCTTACACAGGCCACTGAGGAAGTGTGTAGCTCCGAGGAGCTGCAAGTTCAAAGTGGCCGGCAACCAGGACAGCCGGTAGCATTCAGCCTTGGGCAAGGTGCTGTGACCGCTTTTTTTTTTTAATTTTTTAAATTTTTTCTTTATTGATTTTAGAGAGGAAGGGAGAGGGAGAGAGAGAAACATCCATGAAGGAGGACATTGACTGGCCACCTCCTGCACGCCCCCCACTGGGGATTGGGTGCACAACCTGGGCATGTGCCCTGACCAGGAATCGAACCGGCGACCTCTTAGTGCATGGGTCGACGTTCAACCCCTGAGCCACCCCAGCCAGGCTCTGGCTGCTTGTTTTTTTTTTTTTTTTTATCCTCACCCGAGGACATTTTTCCATTTTTTGTTCAGCTAGAGCGGGAGGGAGAGAGAGGAAGAGAGAGAGAGAGAAACATCAATGTGAAGGGACACATCGAGTGGCTGCCACCCGCACGACCAACCAGGGCCGGGGACAAACTGCAACCGAGGTACATGCCCTTAGCGGGAACCGAACCCGGGTCTCTCTGTACTGCAGGCTGATGCTCCAACCACTGAGCCAAACCGGTCAGGGCTGTGGCTGCTTTTTAATCCGAGCATCCAGGAGTGAGGGTTCCCAGGCACAAGTGCTACCGGACTCCCACTTCGTCAGTGACTTCTTAGGGCAAAACCCTTTATAAACATGATCTCAGTCCTCAGAGGCAACCTGCGAGGTAGAGGTTGTTGGGTGTGTTCAGTCGAGGACTCCGAGGCTCCTGCAGGTTCATTGCCCCGGTTTGCGGAGCACAGGGTAGTGCGCGTGCTCGAACTCGGGCAAGTCTGCGTGGGCAGTGAGTGAGCCCTCCCGTCCCCTCCAGTCCTCAGACCACCCGGGCACCGAGGAGCGGGGCTCCGACAGCTCAGGCGCCCTCCTGAAGCACCGTGTGCTGTCAGTCTGTAATTCGAGTCCTGGACCAGCCACCTCCCAAGTCCACCTCTGAAGTGTTCATTAACTTTGGCACCTTCTACTTTAGCACTTCACCAAAAACCATCAGTTTTCTTCTAGATTGACCCAAAATATGCAGCCAGTGTGCAGGTCACGGTGCCTTGACCTTCTCTCTCGCCCGCAGGTTCCCCCTCTACCTGGCCTCACTCTTCGTCAGCCTCATTTTCCTGTTGGTGAATCTCACCTGCGCCGTGTTGGTGAGGACAGGGAGTTGGGAGAGGAAGGCCATTGTCTCCGTGCGAGTGGCCATCAATGACACACTCTTCGTGCTGTGTGCCGTCTCGCTCTCCATCTGCCTTTACAAAATCTCGAAGATGTCCCTGGCCAACATTTACTTGGAGTCCAAGGTAAGGGACACATGTGTCCAAGAGCCCTCATTCACCTGGTTCTAAAAACAGTTTCCTGGTTTGCACCTTTCACGCCTGACCTGCAGGTGATTAGCCACACTGGTGGCCAACGGAGGGGCGTAGGTCACTGGCTTTGTGTGCGCCAAGCCTTCCGTCTGGGTGGTCGGTGCATCGGGGTGAGCGGGGTTCGCGCCTGCGTTACACCTGCTGTGGCCCGACCGCTGTTCGAAAGGACGCGTGCGGTTGATTGTGCTAAAACGGAGATGAGACGACTCCCAGTCCTGGGGCTACACGTGCTGAGTGCTTAGAACAGTGCCCACGAGGTCTCTGTCTCGGTGGGAGCTGCCCCTGGACTTCAGGACTTTTAATCCCAGCATCCAGGAGTTCCTGTCGGGACTGTTCAGGGTGGAGCCAGACAAGCCCCCTCCCCCGCTCTCATCACTGTCGCACCCCACACCCCAGAATGTTTTGCCCGTGTCTTTCCCACAGGCACAGGGGGGCTGATGCGCTGCCCTGGCTGCGGCGCAAGAGCTCCAAGCAGCCCCCCCCGCCCCCCCCCACAGGCAGCCTCGCTGAGCGGAGGGCGGGAGCAGACCGCGCTGCTGCTGGGGACCCCAGCCCCTTGTCTCGGGGCCTCTGGCCTTGCTTCCCTCACGTGGTTTCTGGGGCACTTCTGCCCCTAGAATTTCGGGGTGCTGTCCTGGGGCATACCCTGGCCTCCGCCACATGGCCTTGCCGGCCGTGAGACCGCTGTCTCCCAGGGTCTTGTCTTCAGTGGCCAGTAACTCAGACCTGCCTCTCACTGCAGAATACAAGGCCTTAGTCAGCGTCCTGTGAATTGGCTGAACTCTTGCGAAGTCCTGAAGGTCAGTGCAGCAGGCTGGTTTTCATCTGTAGATGTCGATGGGCTTTACACTTGGTTTTGCCTTAACTCTCTCTGGTACATTGTCTCACACACAGGGGCTCTGCAAGGCTTTTAAAAACAGAACTGAGGTTTTAAGAGCAGGGTTAAGTTTTAAATGGTCAGACAGATAATGTTGAGGTCGCTCCCTCAGCAAACAAGCTGACACAGCACTACTGGCGGAACGAAATGCCTCCGATTGAGTTAGTGATTTCCAAATGCAAAACTTAGATGAGAATTTTAGCTTTTTCATTAACTGTGTTGTTTTTTTTTTATCCTCACCCGAGGATATTTTTCCATTTTTTGTACAGATAGAGTGGGAGGGAGAGAGAGGAAGGGAGAGAGAGAGAGAAACATCGACGTGAAGAGACACATCGAGTGGCTGCCACCCGCACGACCAACCAGGGCCCGGGACAAACTGCAACCGAGGTACATGCCCTTAGCGGGAACCGAACCCGGGTCTCTCCGGACCGCAGGCCGACGCTCTAACCGCTGAGCCAAACTGGCCAGGGCTATTAACTGTGTTTTAACTGACTTTGGAAATTGACTGCTTCAGAATTTGGGTCACAAATCGCTGATTTCCACCTAACTCCAAGCCCAGAGTCACATTGGAACCCCATTCTCCCAGCCTGGAAGGCACTGGGTTCTGGGGTCACGCTCCCTGCCCGGAGCCACTGCCTCAGCTCGGCCCTCTCCAGGCTGCCAGCCCTTGAGCCTGTTCGGGTGACCCCCCGCAACAGCCGGGTGCTGGGCTCACAGGCCGAGAGGGTCCTCGGGGGCTGTTCTCACACGCCTAGGCCTCAGGCAAATGGCCCACACTTGAACCCTGTTACAGGCACCTCCAGATCAGCTCCCAGGCTTTGAAGCGTCTCTGTGCAGATAATTTGACATTTTAGGAGGGATGTGAGGTCTGAGGCCTGAGGGTTAGGGATCTGACAGGGGTCAGAACACAGGTGGTGTTCTGGGAGGAGGTGGTGTCAGCACCTGGAATGGGCGTGCCCCTCATAGCTCCTGATTTTCCAGGGCTCCTCCGTGTGTCAAGTGACCGCCGTCGGGGTGACCGTCATCCTGCTGTACACCTCCCGAGCCTGCTACAACCTGTTCATCTTAACATTTTCTCAGAGCAAGAACATCCATTCCTTCGACTACGACTGGTACAACGTGTCAGACCAGGTCAGCGGGTGCGAGGGGGTGTCCCCTGAATGCGACTCTGCAGCACCCCATGTGGCAGAGTTCGAAGCTGTGCGCTTTTGCTGTAAAGTAGCTGGGTGACCTTGAGAGTCACCTCTGTGGTAGCTGCGTCCTCGACTGTAAATGGGATTGTAGCACCTGGCAACCAGGACACACGCACACACACACGCACACACACACACACACACACACACACAGTGCTTCCATGTAAAGGTACATGAACTTATTGAAGGGTGAAATTTGCACAGATGAAACAAATTATATTTAGGTTTTAGAAAATACACAAAACTACCAAGTTATGAGAATTTGTTTCTTGTGGGTTTTTTTTTTTCGGTACATGCCCCTAGCGGGAACCGAACCCGGGACTCTCTAGTCCGCAGGCCGACGCTCCAACCGCTGAGCCAAACCGGCCAGGGCATGAGAATTTGTTTAATGGGATATGACTACCAGCAGCACCTGGGGAAGTCTAGACGAAGTGATTGAGGACGTTGAGGTGCTAGTAAAAGCTCATTTTACCAGTGGTCTCATATGATACTCTCTCTTTGTAATCTGTTCTGGAAATTCATAAATTATAAAGCAAATGAACAAAGACAGCAAAATACTGTCAGGCATCCATGTTCACAAAAGTTCAAAATACAAAAGGATGAGAATAAGTCTGCATTCTTCGTCTCCAGCCCTGGACACGAGGTCTCCTCCCCCCTGCAGGAGTCGATGCCCACGAGGAAGAGAGACAGAGAAGCCATCACAGCAAAGAGATAGAACCTCTGGAAAAGACTATTGGATTAGATCGCAAAAACTCCTTAGCTTTTCTTGGAAAAATACTGAATACCCAATGGTACACAAGCTGACGTCTAAAATCCCGGCAGTGCTCAGAGCCTGTATTACATTAGGACTGGGAATGAAATGACCATGACAGGTTAACCTGTGAGGACAAGATGTCCTCAGGAGAGGCACGAGCAAGGTGTTACAGTTAGAAAGGACTGAAGCAACAGTACAACCACCACCACCCCAGCTCAGGCAGTGCCACAGACGCAGGGAGGGAGGATGGGCAAGGCCCTGCCGACGGGGTGCCCCATTTGGAGAGTAGCAACTATATTAAAATATATAAAAATCTAAACTTTAGCCCTGGCCAGTTTGGCTCAGCGGTTAGAGTGTCGGCCTGTGGTCTGGAGAGACCCGGGTTCGGTTCCCGCTAAGGGCACGTACTTCGGTTGCAGTTTGTCCCCGGCCCTGGTTGGTCGTGCGGGTGGCAGCCACTCGATGTGTCCCTTCACGTCGATGTTTCTCTCTCTCTCCCTTCCTCTCTCTCCCTCCCACTCTATCTGTACAAAAAATGGAAAAATATCCTCGGGTGAGGATAAAAAAAAAAAATCTAAACTTTAAATAATGATAGAGACTTACTCATACCGTACAAAATATTTTTGTAGTAAAATATGAAATTTACTTTTCTAGCCCTTTGTGAACGTGCAGCTCAGTGGCATTAGGGACAGTGACATTGCGCTGCTTCAACGACACCATCACCTCCAGAACGTCGTCTGCCCAGCTGACACTCCCAGCCCTTCAACACAGAGATTTGGCTTTAACAAAATAATTATTTCAATTTTTCTTTCAAGTAAGAGCTTATAATAAGTTTAAAGTATCACAGTTTTTAAAATTCTGTTGTTTTCAGGGCATGTTTAGTTGTAGATGTCGCAGCCAGTAGAATCCAGGAACAAAACAAAGGGCCACAAGTTGCACGTGTCATTTGTGTAGGATGGGAAAAGAACACTGCTATCGAGACCTGTTATACATGGAATGCGAGATGCGAAATTTCTGACAAGTACATGATTCGTTTTGGTCACTGTACGTAAATATGATGTCATAGAGAAGGAAAAGGATTCAGTTTAGGTGATTGGCCCTTTCAGTGCGTGGGATGTCCTTCCGACCAGCTGAGCCACACAGGCCCAGGTGATTGGCCTTTTAGGACTTGATTTTGGTAACACTGTCTTTCTTTGGGACGATGCCTGCCTGGTAGTTGCTCAAACACTGACTCTTTTTAGGCGCCTTCCACCTGCCCCCCAGGGAGAGAAACTCCACACCAAGGCCACTCAGCCGTCTCTGATCCAGACGCCCAGCATCCTGGACTCAGATTGTTTTCTAGACAGTCTCACCTGCAATGAGCTTTACAGGGTAACGAACAGAATGAAGTTTCTGTGACAAGGAGTTTAAAAACGATGTTTATCCCAAGGCTGAGACTAAGGGTCACAGTTACCTGCTGCTCGCAAGAATTTGGGCAAAGGCAACATATTCTCATTATTCAATTGTGGAAGAAAAGAAAATCCGCTTCAGTTTGATACTCAGTCTGGACATAAGGAAGATTTTGGAGGTGAAGTCGTAAAACACCAGAGAGCAGCAGTTTCTGAAGAGGAGGACCTATGGTCTGGACCATTAGCGTTATCGTTTCAGTATGCACGTCTTCGGGGAAAGGGGTGCACTGTCTCAGAGGGGTCTCTGTTCACTTAGAAAGACTCGGGTCCCACTCATTTCCTCTGCCCTCGGTCCGTGACCACCTCCTCCCTCTCAACAGGCGGATCTGAAGAGCCAGCTGGGAGATGCTGGCTACGTCGTGTTCGGGGTGGTCCTGTTCGTGTGGGAGCTCTTGCCCACCACCTTAGTCGTTTACTTCTTCCGTGTTAGAAATCCTGCCAAGGACCTTGTAAGTAAACCGTTTTATATTTGCAGAAAATATCACCTCATTCTAATCACAAACATACCATGACATTTTTTTTCTTAGATTTTCATTAGAAAGCCTCTTCCCTCCTGTTTGTGATGTAAAACGTTCCCTTATTTAATCGAGCCTTTTTTTTACCCTTGATTCTCTTCCGAGGGAAATGTGTTTTTCAGCTTAGCTTTATTTCACAAGAGGAATGGAAGTGAGTTGCACCTGCGGGTCCGGAGAGACCGTGTCCTTTGCGGCAGCAGGCCCGCTGTGTCTGAGCCTTGGCTTGCTGCGGCCAAGCCGGCTTTCCTTTACCAAGGGAACTAGAGAATGGTCAGTTCAGTTCTTCATCCCCGTCTTATGCTGAATGGGGTGCTAGGGAATTAAGAGCATCGGAAAGGATGCTCGAGCCCCTCCCCCAGTCTGGTCACATCTCTGCTGACAGACTTCACATGAATGTCCTCATGAGGGCAGCGCAGAAGACAGAACCCTTTGCTGCACAAATGAGCCCAACCACATTAACTAGCAGTAGAATTTTGAATCACTAGTATATGAAACCCATAAAGAGTGGCTTTTGTCCCCTGTGAGCAAAATGTGGGTGGTAAGGAAAACAAAGATCTAGCAACCAATCTGTTGTGTTTTGTTTCTCTTACTCATCTCTGGATAGTCACTGATGAGCCAGGAATAGAAAAAACATGAGACTGGAGTGGGGCAGGGCAGGTGGTGAAGCCAGCCTGATGGATGGGCCCTTGAGAGAGAATGCACCCTCCTTGGATTGTTTGGTAAACTTGTCCTGTGAAGCCACCTGGGCAGTTTCCGAGACCTCAGGATCCGTTTCTGCCCTTTCGTTATTGCTATCTGACCTTAATGTGCCTGGGGACCCCTGGAGGCTTCTGTAAAGTCAGACTCTGAACACTTCCTCGTTGGATCTGTAGATTGCTTTGGGTAGTGTGGACATTTTAACAATGTTAATTCGTCCTATTCATTAGGACGGTATGTGCCTCCATTTATTTGTATCTTCAATTTGTGTTATAGTTTTCTGAATACAGGTCTTTTACTTCCTTGGTTAAATATATTCGTAGGTGCTTTACGCTTTTTGAGGCAGTTGTAAAGGGCATTATTTTCTTAATTTCTCTTTCTGATCGTTTGTATTGGTGTATAAAAATGCAGCCAAGTTCTGAATATTAATTTTGTATCCGGTTACTTTACTGAATTTGTTTACTAGTGGAATCTTTAGTGTTCTCTCTATATAGGATCATGTCATCTGCAAATAATGAGTTTTGCTTCTTCCTTTCCAATTTCGATGCCTTTTGTTTCTTCTTCTGGTCCGATCCGTGGCCAGCACTGTGTTGAGTGAGTGGTGAAAGTGGACGTCCTTGTCGTGTTGCTGATACAAGGAAAACGCTTTTAGCTTTTCCCCACTGAGTACGATGTTGGCTGTAGGTTTGTCATAATGTTGAGATAAGTTCCCTCTGTCCCCACTTTGCTGAGAGTTTTTATATAAAAGGATGTAAGATTTGGTCAAATGCCTTTTTGTATCTATTGATATAATCATATGATTTTTATCTTTCTTTTTTTAATACTTAATTTATTATTATTTTTTTTTTATTACAGATGTCCTTCCTTTTTCCCCCTCTGACAGCTACCTCCCTGCTCCTGCCCCCCCTTCACCTTACTGTTGTCTGCATCCATTGGTTATGCATATATGCATGTAAGTTGTTTATCTCCTGTCCCCCACCCCCTTCCCTCTGAGGTTTGTCAGTCTGTTCCCTACTTCCATGTCTCTGGATCTATTTTGATTGACAGCTTATTTTGTTCATTATATTCCATTAATAAGTGAGATTGTGTGGTACTTGTCTTTCTCTGACTGGCTTATTTCACTCAGCATAATACTCTCCAGGTCCGTCAATGTCATTTCAAAGGGTAAGAGATCTTTCTTACAGCTGCATAGTACTCCATTGTGTATATGTACCACAGCTTTTTTATCCACTCATCTACTGATGGACACTTTGGCTGTTTCCATGTCTTAGCTATTGTAAATAGCGCTGCTGTGAACATAGGGGTGTATATATTCCTTCTGATTGGTGTTTCAGGCTTCTTAGGATGTATTCCTAGAAGTGGAATCCCTGGGTCAGATGGCAGTTCCATTTTTAATTTTTTTAGGAAACACCATATTGTTTTCCATAGTGGCTGCACCAGTCTGCATTCCCACCAGCAGTGTACTAGGGTCCCCTTTTCTCCACACCCTAACCAGCACTTGTTTGAGGATTTGTTGATGACAGCCATTCTGGCAGGTGTGAGGTGATACCTCATAGTTGTTTTAATTTGCATCTCTCTGATGATTAGTGATGTTAAGCATTTTTTCATATGCCTCTTGGCCATTGGTATGTCCTGTTTGGAAAAGTGTCTATTCAGGTCCCAATTTTTTAATTGGGTTATCTGTCTTCCTTTTGTTGAGTTGTATGAATACTCTATATATGTTGGAAATTAACTCATTATCCGATATATCATTGGCAGATATGTTCTCCCATACAGTGAGTTCCCTTTTCATTTTGATGCCAGTTTCTTTTGCATTTTAGTTTGATGTAGTCCCAGTTATTAATTTTTTTTCTTTGTTTATCTTATCCTAGGCAATGTATCAGTGAAAATTCTGCTACATGTGATGTCTGAGATTTTGCTGCCTTCATTTTCTTCTAGGATTTTTATGGCTTCACAAGTGACATTTAAGCCTTCTATCCATTTTGAATTTATTCTTGTGTGTGGTATAAGTTGGTGGTCTAGTTTCTTTATTTTTTGCATGTAGCTGTCTAATTTTCCCAACACCATTTATTGAAGAAGCTGTGTTTACTCTATTGTATGCTCTTGCCTCCTTTGTCAAATATTAATTGAGCATGTCTTGGATTGATTTTTGGGTTCTCTGTTCTGTTCCACTGGTCTATCTGCCTGTTCTTGTGCCAGTACCAGGCAGTTTTGATTACAATGGCTTTGTAGTATAACCTGATATCCGGTATTATGATCCCTCCTACTTTGCTCTTTTCAAGATTGCTGTGGCTTTTCAGGGTCTTTTTTGGTTCCATATAAACTCTTGTAGTATTTGTTCTAGATCTGTGAAGTATGCAATTGGTATTTTAGTAGGGATTCCATTGGGTCTATAGATTGCTTTGGGTAGCATGGACATTTTAATGATGTTGATTCTTCCAATCCATGAATATGGTATGTGCTTTCACTTTTATATCTTCCTATATTTCTTTTTTCAATGTCCTGTAGTTTTCTAGAACAGGTCTTTTACCTCCTTGGTTAGATTTATTTCTAGGTATCTTAATTTTTTTGTTGTTGCAATGGTAAATGGGTTTGTGTGTGTGTGTTTTAGTTTCTCTTTCTGTGTGTTCATTATTGGTGTATAAAAATGCCAGTGATTTCTGGGTGTTGATTTTGTATCCTGCTATTTTGCCAAATTCACTTATTAAATCTAGTAGTTTTTTTTTTTTTTGGTGGAGTCCTTAGGATTGTCTACGTATAATACCATATCATCTGCAAGTAATGATCGTTCTACTTCCTCCTTTCTAATTTGGATGCCTTCTACTTTTTCTTCTTGTCTGATTGCTGTGGCTAAGACTTCCAGTACTATGTTGAATGAGAGTGGCAAAAGCAGACATCCCTGTTTTATTCCTGTTCTTAAGGGAAATAAAAGCTTTTAGGTATTGCCCTATATTGGTATTGCCCTATGAGTATGATGTTGGTTATAGGTTTGTCATACGTGGCCTTTATTATGTTGAGGTATGATCCTTCTGTTCCCTCTTTGCTGAGAATTTTTATCAAAAATGGGTGCTGGGTTTTGTCAAATGCTTTTTTAGCACTTATTGATATGATCATATGATTTTTATGTTTAATTCTATTTATGTGGTGTATCTCATTTATTGATTTGTGAATATTGTAACCAGCCTTGCATCACTGAGATAAATCCCACTTGGTCATGGGATTTATAGTTTTTTCATTGTATTGCTGGATTTGATTTGCTAAGATTTTATTTTATCCTCATCTGAGGTCATTTTGCATTTACCTGAGGTCATTTTTGCATTTATCTTCAAACAGAGTGGGAGGGAGAGAGGAGGGAACAGAGAGAGAGAGAAACATTGATGTGAGAGAGACACATCAAGTGGTTTCCACCCATACAACCCCAACCGAAGCCAGGGACAAATTGCAACCGAGGTACCTTAGCGGTAACCGAACCCGGGACTCTCTGGTCCATGGGCCGACGCTCTAACCGCTGAGCCAAACCAACCAGGGCCGATTTGCTAAGATTTTGTTGAGGATTTTGGCACCTATATTCATCAGGGATATTGGCCTGTAATTTCCTTTCTTTGTTGTATCTTTAGCTGGTTTTGGGACTAGGATTATGCTGGCCTCATAAAAAAAGCTTGGAAGTCTTCCTTCCTCTTGAGTTTTTTGGAATAATTTGAAAATAGGTGTTAGTTCTTTTTAGAATGTTTGGTAAGACTCCCCTCTGAAGGTGTTGGACCAGGGCTTTTGTTTGCGGGAGTTTATTGATTACTGTTTCTATTTCTTTAATTGTAATTGGTCTGTTCAGGTTTTCTGAGTTTGTCGTTTTTTCTTACAATCCTTTGTATTTCTGCAGTGTCAGTTGTTACTTCACCTCTTTCATTTCTGATTGTATTAATTTGGGTCCTCTTTGTTTCTTGGAGAGTTATGACTAAAGTTTGATCAATCTTGTTTATCTTTTCAAAGAAGCAGCTCTTGGTTTCATTGCTCTTTTGGTTTTTTAAGTCTCTATGTTGTCTATTGCTGCTCTGGTCTTTATTATTTCCTTCCTTCTACTAACTATGGGTTTTTCTTTTTGTTCGCCTTCTAACTCTTTAAGTTGTAGGGTTAATTTGTTAGAAATTTTTCTTGTTTCTTGAGAAAATTTTCTTTTTTCTGTAGTGCTATGAACTTCCTTCTCAGGACTGCTTTTGCTGTGTCCCATAGATTTTGTGTTG